CCCGCCGCGAGCTGGGCCTGCCGAGCCCGAGCGGCGGCGGGGCCGCCGCCGCGCTCGCCGTCGCAGACGCCGCGGAGGCAGCGGCGCTGCGGCGCTCCTCAGTCGTACTCCCCCACGCCACACACGCGCGCGCGCACGCGCACACACGCGCGCAAACGCATGCCTCCCCCCAAAAGAACTCACCTGTTGTACAGCACAGGCCAAACGTTGTTGACCACCGCAATGCTGAACGGCGCCGCGACCGTGCTCGACACCGCGTCGCCCGGCGCCAGATTCTCCATTGCCACGCCCACCAGCGTCACATTCGCGTGCTGCGAGCCCGTCTCGTTGAGCTGGTTGACCGCCATCTCGAAATCTATGGACGTTATAGCCGACTGCAGGCCGACGATCAGCAGCGGCCGCCCGACCGCGATGCCGGCGGCCGGCAGCCGCGGGCGCGCGCCGAGGGAGACGTTGGTCGTGAGGTACACCAGCAGGGGCGCCGGCGTGGGCGCGCCCGCGCGCGCGAGCAGCGAGGGGACGAGGGAGGCGTTTGTTGCGGAGAGGACGAAGTTGGGCGCGGCCGCGGCGGGCGCTTGCAGCAGGATTCCGACTGAGAGCAGGGTCGTGCGGCCGTCTGAGGAATTAAACTGGTGAATGTGCAGAAAAGTGGCGTCGTCCTGCGAGGGGCGTGGGCGGGAGCGTGGCGCCGGGCCGTATGGGCGAGGACGCTGTGTGCTGCGATGCCCTGCGTGGCATGCATTGGCGCTGCGCGGCGGCCGCCTGCTTGTGCTGCCGCCGCACCCGTCGCGGGGGTGCCGCCGTCGGCAGCTGGCGCCGACGCGCACGCGGCGGCCACGCAACAACGCAACGTACGGCCCCGCCTGCGCATGCGTGCATGCACCCACCGTCCAGTAACCGGCTCCGCGGCTAGGCTCATTCCCAAACAAGGAAAGGAAGCTCTCAAGCTCGCCCCGCGTTTTGACAACCAACCGAATGTCTGTCATCCGCAGCGCCGCGCCCGGCCCGCCGGCCAGCAGCTGCACAGGCCATAGCAGCGGCTGCGGGCCGGCGGCCCCCGGGGCCGACAGGGAGAACCCGGCTAGTATCAACCGCTTGAGGTGGAGCTCTGGGCCTGAGGGGCGGGGGCGGGCGGCCGGAGGCGAGGGGACGGTGCCGAGCGGCCGACAGGGCGCGCGACGGGGCGTGGGGGAATGCATATAGTAGATGACGCGTGCGCCGCCGTGCGTATGCAGGCTGCGTTAGCGCGTGCACGTCCCGCGGTGCTGGCCCTGCGGCGCGAGCTGGAGAGGGGTGGCGGAGGGGTCGCCCACCCTTACCTTCGCCAGGAGCCCTTGCGGTCAGCGGCTGCGGCTCGCCATCCGGCGCGTTAATGACGGCCGTCGTGGGATGCACTGTGTCGGTTGGGGGCCCGCTGCGCTCCCCAGTAATTGCCACCACCGCAGGGGCGGATGCGGCGGCGCGGTCCCCAGACGTCCAGGTGCACTCATCGTGCACGGCCCACCGCCCTGAAGCCTGGGGTCCGTCGAGACATCCCGGAACCGCCACGGCAAGCGAGGCAGCCCCAGCGATGCTCAAGAAGGCGAGGAGCGCACGGCGAGTCAAGCTGCCTGATCTGCACGGCATCCAGCCCTGCCAGTGGCTGCAGATTTATTTCTAATACAGCTGCACGACATCACAGCCCTGAGTTCGCCGCGGCCTGCAGTTCGAAAGCACGAGGCCTAAGCGCAGGGTGCTTCTGCCAGCGAAGCGTGCCCGACATTTCCGGCCTAGATAGTCTTCAATCGGACTCGCAGGTTGGTGTTCACATGCCCGCTGCCATGCAGCATGAAGTAGGGTCACCGCGGTGTGAGCGTCGCAGCGTATTACGATTGCCGAGCAGCAGCGGGGAAAGGCCCTGCAGTGCACAGGCGCTACCCTGGGAGGCTGTGCAGCAGGGCAAGTGTTTATGATGCAATATATTTTGGGACGACGGCCTTTGGATGGCCTGGAACGCGGCGTTCACGGCCCGGGCAGCACGCGGATGGCCGATTCGCCCAGTCAGCTGCGGCAGCCCTGCAGGCATCCATGTGCGCGGTCACAGCTGGCAAATGCAGCCCCCACCCCTTCAGGTGTCTCATAGAGATCAGCAATGTCCTGCGTGTCGGCCTATACGTGCGACTGAACCAACGAGCTCCAGGGTGCACTCTTGAGACACCTGTCAACTCACGGGCCAGGGTGCCGTGCGGATCGAAGCATGCTCAGTGCGCAATGACAGTGCCAGGGCCTGCCATGTACATGAGCGCAGCACATTTGAACCTCACAGCAGGACCCCCTCAGGCCCTGCCGCCGCCGTCGGCTGCCGGGAGCGGGCGTCGAGCCTGCCTCAGGGCTGGCACTCAATTTGAGGATGCGCCGCATCAGGCTCGCCGGGCCTGCCGGTGGTGCGGTCGGCGGCAACAAGCAAGCGCCTAGCACCGCGCCACGGGGATTGAGCCGAGGAGAGGCCTATCGATCCTTTTCTCGGCGGCGGCCCTCCCAGGACCCTCTGCGGCGTGACGCATGGTGCGCCGCCCATCAGCGCCAGGGAGGTGCTGCTGCTGCAACAGCATCAGAGCAAAATCCCCACAAATGCGCTGCGGTGGCGAGATCCCTGTGAGTCTCCAACGTGGTCGCGGCTTCGGGGGCTGTTTGGCGGTACGCGATGCCTGCATGCCATTTGGCGCATAGCATGGGGCGAGGGGCGCTCGCTGACTGGACTGTGGACTTGCATGGACACAAGCGCAGCGACCGCATGGCCCGTTATACCGTAACTTCGGTACAGAGACGACTGTCAACCAGTAGTTGCTGAGTCGGAGGGCTGAGCACGGCGCTGCTTGAGATGCGTATCACCACAAGTGGCTGGTTGGCGGCACCGCAGCGCGCATGTGTCAGTCACCACAGCACAGCCCTGATTTTTTTCTCGACTGCTTTGCTCCCGATCAATGACACCGGCGGATTCAATTGAGTTGCACTCAAACTTAAATCACTAGGTAAACGCGTGCTGGCGAGCTGCTCGATCACACTGTCGTGTCCCATCCTGCACAACCCTCGCCTTCAGCGCTGCCTCACAAATCTAACAGAGCACGGAGGATTGAGAGTCTAGCTAGAGCCATGCATGAGATGGTGGCCTGAGGCGTGCTGCGTGGAGCAGCGCCGTGCGGCGGCGCCGCTGCCAGGGCGCGGGAGCACGAGCAGCAGGCGCGCAGCTTCAAGCCATTGATTCCGCCCCTCGCCCGTGCCAACCTCTGCGGCCCCCGCCATGTCGCTACTGCTCACGAGCTGCGCGCACCTCGCGCGCCGCGCGCGCACGGCGGCGCCCCCGCTGCTCGCGCTCTGCGCCCGGGGCGCCGCCGCGGGCCACGCCGGCGCTGCGTGGCGGCCGGGCGCGGGCGGGGCCGCGTGGTCGCCTTGGCTCGCGAAATGCATGGCGGCGCACCTGAGCGGCTGCGCCGAGGCGGAGCCCGCCCTAGACTTATACCGCGTCAACGTCATCACAGGTGGGGGCGCTGTCGGGGCGGCAGGCGTTGCCCCCTTCGCAGCTTTCGCGGGCAGCCCGCCCGCAGCACCCTCCCCCGCCGGGGCCGCGGCCGCTGGGCTCTGCCTTGAATAAGTGGCATGCAGCGACGAAGATCCCACCCGAGGCCCCTCCCTCGCCCGCCTCGCCCCGCGCAGGCAACGTGCGCGGCGCGGGCACGCGGCTGCCGTGCACGGTGCAGCTGGTGGGCACAAACGGCACGAGCGACAAGGCCGTCGTGGGGGAGGACGGCCTTGGGCGCGGCAGCAGCGTGGCGGTCGAGCTGCATGCGCCGAAGGACATAGGGGAGATAAAGCGGTGCTTTGTGGAGCGCGGGAAGGGCGGCTACACGGACACGGGGGACGGCTGGTTCCTCGAAATGGTCGAGGTGATTTGGGGGCCGAGGCCGGGTGCGCCAGCAGCAGCTGCCTTCGCGCCGGCTGCCGTCCCCTGCGCTGATGCAGCAGCCGCCTGCGTCCCAGCAGCAGCAGGGGCGGCGGGCGGAGCCGAGGACAAGGAAAGGGAGGGAGGCACTCTGGGGCGCTAGGCGGCCGCCGCCGCTGCGGCAGGCCAGACGGGCGCCCTGGGGTGGGGCGTTTGAGTTCCCAAGGCCGGGCGGCTCTTTGCAGTCCCCGTGCGCTGGCGCTTGCTGATGTCATGCGCGGTCAAACCACACCTGCAGGTTGTGGGGCCGGGGCAGGAGGTGTACCAGTTCCCGTGCCACGCCTGGTTTGGCCACAGCGACTGCGGCGATTTCGTCGGTGAGAGGAGGGGTGGCGCGCACGGCCCTGCTAGATGCTCTGCGTCGAGCGCAAGCACGCCCTCTGGGTACCGCCTGCCCGCCGTTCTGGCGCCTGCAGCCGAGTATGCGCCTAAATTGAACGACTCCGGTCATTTGACCTGATTCTGCGGCGATGTCTGCTCTGGTGCGATCTAGAGCTGGTCTACAGATCAGATCTGATCTGATGACTCTGATATGTGATCTCAACCCCGCAGGCGCCCTGGAGCGCAACCTCATCCCGGTTAAAGCGGACCACAAGCTGCCCGTTGCTGAGATTCTTGGGGACCCCGTGTCAGTCCAGGCTGCCGGCATCTCATTCCCACACCCTGACAAGGTGCGCCGGCCGGCCCCTGCGCCCCAAGCGAGCCTGTGCGCGCGAGTTGGAGCCGAACGGGTCCCGTCCTTAGTCACTCCTGCGGCCGGCCGCGTGTGCCTCAAAACGCCCGCGCGTCGGCGCTCCATGGGGTACCAGTGCCAGCTGCAGGTCGACCGAGCCCGCTGGCAGCTGCTGGCTCGGCCGCACACGGAGCCCTGGCGTCGGCCCCTCGTGGCCCGGTGTGGCCCAAGCCATAACTGCCGCCCCGCCCCTGCCGCGCCCCACAGATCAAACACGGCGACGCGCGGGGCGTGAACAAGCAGCATTTTGGCTTTGCAGGGGAGGACGCATACTTCTATTGCACCGGCAGGTGGGTCGGCGTTCGGGAGATTACTTCGTCATCCGCTGCAACGCGGCGGTCTAAACAACAACGCCTGCAAGGGCCGCACACGACCCGCGCGCGGGGTCGCGGCCGCAAGCACCGGCCAGCCGCGCCGCCGCCGGCTCGCTGACCCACGGCACTCCACACCCCTACACGCTCGCCTCCGCCCCTCTCACCCGCCCGCCCGCTGCTGTCGTTTGCGGTCGAGCCGCAGGAACAACATATTCGGGATGGGGGTGGCGGACGGCGTGTATGCCTGGAAGGAGCAGGGCATCGACAGCGGCGCGATGAGCCGCACGCTAATGGAGACGGCGCGGCACATGGTCCAGGCCGGCTGCGAGGATGTCCTCAAAGGTGGGCGGCCCGGCGGCTGCGCAGCACATTGAGTAATCCCTCGTCAATCAGCGGCGTGCGGCGCGGACAGCACGAACCGTATGTCATTGCTGGGGCGCTGCGTGGCCGCACATTCCCTGGAGGGGCCGCCGGCAGTCCCGACACAGCGTTTCCTCGTGCGCATCCTCCGACGGCGCCCCCGGCCCGCCCCTGCAACTGCCCCACACCCCCTCTTGGCGCCCGCGCGCCCCGGACCCCCAGTCCTCCAAGTCGCGGCGCGCCACGTGGAAAGCGAGGGCGTCCTCGGCAGCAGCACGATCTGCCTGCTGACCATTAACAAGGCAGTGGGCCGCCTGCAGGCCGCAACGCTCGGCGACAGCGGCATGTTTGTGATCGGAAGGCGGCCGGGCAGCTCGCTGCTGCAGGTCAAGTTCAGGACACCGCAGCAGGAGCACGAGTTTGGGCGGCCGTACCAGCTCGGCCACTTCGCGCACGCCAACAATCCGGACGTGAGGGGGACCAACGCCACGCGCGGCGCCGGGAGGGGGCGAACGCGTCACCTGTGGGGGCGGAATCGTTTTGTGTTGGGCGTCTTGGTGCGCGGCTGATTGCTGCTAGGTTTGTCCGTCTGTGTCCCAGGTTGATCATGCCTTGGGCCTGCACCTCACCCCCATAATATTTCATGAACCCCGCATTCGCGCAGGATGCCGACCTGGCGACGTTTGTGGTGCAGGCAGGTGACGTCATTGTTGCTGGCAGTGACGGGCTGCTGGACAACCTGTCGGAAACGGAGCTTATGGATGAGGTGGGTTGATGTGATTGGGAGTTGCAGTGCTTTCGAGGTCATGTCAGCGTGGCAATCCCGTGCACAGGGCGATGAGCCCACGCAGGTGGACTATTCCGTTGGTGCTTGTTTCGCTGGTGACAGCAGCAGCAGTGAAGTCGGGTGTCGTTTTTTGCTTCCCTGCGCAATCACCCGCCCCCAATGCCTTGCCGCGGACTGCTCCGCATGCAGGTCGCCGCCGGCCTGCGCGCCGGCGCGCGCGCGCCCCAGATCGCGCAGCAGATCGCCAAGGCAGCGTTCCTAGCATCCGTGGACCGCGGCCGCACGACGCCCTACGCGCGCGCCGCGACAGAGGCGTTCGATATGGTGTACAGCGGCGGCAAGAAGGTGAGGGGGAGGGGAAGAGGGCCTGGCGTCGGGCTGGCAACGCAGGGTCGCCCCTCCGGCGTCGACGCGGACGCCGGCCGTTGGCAGTCTGCAACCAGCTTGATGCGTTGCGGCATGAGGAGTGCACGAGGCCTTCATCGGTCGCCCTCCCCAGTTCTGCCTTGCCATCTGATTGACTAGGCGCTCCTCACCCCAACTCCCGCCCCCAGGACGACATTGCTGTCGTTGTGGCCCTCGTGACATGAGCAAGTTGCCCGCACACGTGCATTTCTTTTTGGAGCCGCCTACTGCGCGCCAAGGCGACGTGCTGGCGGCGTGGAGACGCAGGCTGGCGGCATGGAGACGCAGGCCAGGGAGCACGAACGGCATGCAACCAAATGCACGCGTGTCCCCCGTCTTGCACTCGCCTCGCGCCTCGGGCCCCCTGCGTCCTGGCAGCCCAAACCCGCCGCCCTGTGGGCGGGGGCCCACTGGCGTCGGCCAGGGTGGTGGCCGTGGCCGCGCCACCACCACCTGCTGCCATTCCACGCAGATTGTTGTACCCATGCACGTGCCCTACGCCTGCTGGCGTCGCACGCATGTTGCGCGCGCCACCTGGACGGATGGCGGTGGTCTTTTTGCATCTCTGCTTGCAGGCGTGTGCGCCCCAAAGCCGCATGTGTCGCGACGCGCTTGACAAGCCATGGCCACACGTCTGGGGTCGCGTTGTTTGGGGAATGGGGCACGCACGGCGCCGCCGGTAGCGAATTGCTCTGGCGTGACGTGAGCCCTTCTTTCACCCATTCCCCAGCTGCCTCTCGGCGGCAATCTGGTGCGTTGAGCTATGCAAGCGAACGTTCGCTTGCTGGTCGCCGCGCCGAGGGGCGCCGGTGCTGTGCAGCCGCCTGCGGCATTTTTCGCCCCCCTCTGTTTGCAATTGACGCTTCTCGGCCTTGGCTCGCATCACCACGCACGCGCAGCCGTCGACGCGCCAACCCCCACCTGCTGCTCAGCAGCGTTTCATGCCAGGGCCCCTGCTGAGGCGGGAGGCCCACTTGCACCCATAATGAACCCCCTTTTGTGTCAAGGCAAGGCCGTGCGCGTGCCTGTAATTCTATCATCATGCACGTGTGATTTTGGAAGACTGTTAATGCCGACGCCCCCTTTGAGTCAAGTTTGGCATTACCAAATTCTGGTTGGCGTCTGGCAGCTGCATAGCAGTCTGCGTCACCACCCGGTAGCGACAGTGCGAAGCGGGGTGCGGCTCGACGCTGTAGGCATGCCGGTCCACTTGCAGAGGGCCACCTAGAATTCGAGCTGCCAGGCAGTGCGGCCAACGAAGCTCACATCGATCTCGCTGGGGGAGTGCCCCTCGCATGCTGCCGCGGACGCAGCACAAGGGGGTGCATAATGCATCACCCGTCCCTGCTGTGCTGGGCCGCGGGCCCTTGGCACGATCCTGGCGGGCTCGAAAGGTGCCCCAGTGCAGGAAGAGCAGGAGGGCGCGGGTGACCTCTTGCGAGCTGGAACAGCATGAGGGGCGTCCATCAAGCCCTCCTGTGGCCGTTCAGGTGGGTTACACGGTCTTCCGCACGCGGCCCAGCTGATGGCAGCACGGTTTGAAACATGCGCGCTCTTCACAGGCTCCTAGCCCTGGCTTGTACGCTGAAGGAGATTTCGTGATTCCTACGGGCCAGCTCAAGATTGTCGGCGTTGGCGCCAGGGGCATCAGCGCTATAGGACGTCTTATGGGTGGGTGCGCTTGTGGGTGAGGCGCGCATGAGCCGCACTATGCACACTGCGTAGCAATGGTGCGACGCTATGTGGGAGTGCGGCTGCAAACTACTGCCCTGCTACATAGCAGTAAGCTTGGCAAAGCACGGGCGACGCCATGTGAAGGGCTTCCTTGTGCCGCCGATGCCACGGCCCAGGCAACAACCTCGTCCCCGGCGGCGACTTTTGGGCCATCGACAGCGACATGAAGGTGCTGGGGTCCTGCGAGGCGCAGCACACCATCCAGATCACCGGCGAAGACGAGGCGTCCATCCCGCTGCTCGAGCTGCGGCGTCTCGCGGGCGACTCGTTAGCAGGCGCTACGCGCGCGCAAGGAGCGATGCCGGCGGCCGCCACTGCGGGTGCGTAGGCAGGGCGGGCCTACTTTGCGGCTCACGCCGCAGCTCTGCAGCTGCGACTATGCTGTTCTTTTGTTAGCCCTAGGCCCTTTGCAGCATGAGTCGCCTGCCTCGCCAGGTCTTGTTGTGAACGTGAGCGCAACACATCAACCTCCCTGACACGACAATCACACGCACATGCAGCCGCGCACGCACAGGTACACTTAAACTCGCTGGCCCGCACCCGTGCACGTGCATGTACACGCGCATGATTGGATCGCCGCCACCGCCACCAACCCGCCTTCGCCCCCCAAAGGCGTCGTCTTCCTGCTCGCCGGCGCCGGCGCCGTCCCCGGCGGCTCTACCCTGCTGCTGCAGCTCGCCGCCTTCCTGCGGCGGTCAGGCTACTTTGTCGTGGCCGCGCTGACGCGGCCCTTTGACTTTGAGGGGCGGCGGCGGCTGGAGGAGGCGGACGCCCTCATAGAGGCCCTCTCAGACGTCGCGCAACTTACAGTGGGTGGGAGGTTGCTAGGGGTTGGCGCTTCGTTGCTCATTTTTGCCCTTGTCCACGGTTGTTTGGTGTTACTGTCGTGAGCGGGCGAAGCTCGCGGCTGGTGCAGCTGTGTGGTGCCGTGAGTCGCAAGGTCAAAGGTGGGCCCCAGCACTGCCAAATGCATTGCTGATGGGGGCCCAGTAGCCCATCACGACCCATGCCAGCGCCAACAAGGTGCTTCTGGTGGGAAGGCGCATCCGAACGATCTCGGCGCTGCCTCGTGCGCCCGTCCGCCCCCCGCAGGTGGTGGTGGCGCAGGGCGTGCTGCAGCGGGCCAGCGCGGAGCTGACGATCAAGGACGCCTCGGCCATCGCGGACAACACGCTCGAGTTTAGCGTCAGATCTGTGCTGTGGGCGCTGGGGGCGCCGGAGCTGCTGCGGGCGTCGCAGGGTGCGGCGCGGCGGCTTGTTTTGGGGGCGAGCCAGGGTTGTTGAGGGTGCGCTTGAGATGCAGTGGCCGGACCGCACAGGGGGGGTGCGTGTTGGCATGCCCCTGCGGGAAAACGGTGGTGGGCGGCAGCAGCAGATGAATTAGCGGTAGCGGCCAAGGCGTACGTTGGGCATGGGATGAACCCGCCGCCGCGCCCCGCCCTCCGGCCCTCCCCAGGTTCTATGGCTTGGCACGGCCGCGACCTGCGGCAGTACAAGCGGCTGCTGTCACCGCCCTTGGAGCGGCTGCTCACCTGCCCAGGTGCGCGGGGACGCGCCGTTGTCATGCAGGATCCAGAGCGCCCCCGTCCGGTCCCCTGTCCGCGGCAGCTGCAGCATGCCAGGTGCAACCCGCACGCTCCGTCCCTGGCGGCCGCTGGGCGCGGTGAGAGAGACCCGAGCGGCAGCTCCTCGCACGCTGCGCGCGCGTGCGTCCCGCAGGCACCGCCGCGCTGGGTCGCGGGCTTGCGTCGATCCCGGTCAGCAGCCTGGAGGAGGCAGGGCTGCCCAGCACGCTCAGCACGCTAGCGGAGGACGCCGTCACGGTGCGCGGCCGCGGCGCAGCCGAAACCGCGTTGGCGCCAGGCGGGCAGGGGCAGCGCTGCTCTCGGACGCCCTTTCTCGCGCCGCAGCCCTGCCTCACATGCACGTTTCTGCTGAGTCATGGTCAATGATATTCGCGACCCAGTTGGGCGCGGCAGGACAGGCTGCTCGTGTCGCCCCTCAACAGCCAGCGACACCCCTGAAACGCGGCGCCCCTTACCCAATTGCCAGGCGGCCGCGGACTCGCCGTTCCTCGACGCGGCGATGGGCAACGCCGGCGGCGTGATGGTTGTGCTGGGCCTGCCGCCGTGGGTGCTGGGCCACCGGCTGGACGGCGCGGGGCAGGCGCTGGATGACCCCGAGAAGTATGCGGTCAGGGCGGCGGTGCAGGTGGGCGGGCTGGTTGCTGCGCGGCCGACGACTTGGAGATAGGGTGGGTGTGGGTGCGTGTGCGTGTGTTTGACAAAGGAGGGAGTTGTGTGTCTGCATCTGTGTGTGTATGTGTGTGTGAGAGCGCACGAGGTTGCCTGATTGTGTGTGTGTAGGTGTGGGGGGCGGGGCGCGGCCACATGTGTGTCTGGCTTAGCAGAGCGGACAATTAGTGTCACGGGACAGTACCAGGCAGACTGAGGGGTTAGTCTCCCAGGCTGCTAGGACTGGGCCTTATCTGTCGACACCTAGCTGCTCTACTGCTGCGCGGGCGGCGGGAGTGTGGCTGACAGAGATTACACTCCCTATGGTGAGGGGCTGCCGTCAGACCCCCCACTCCGGCTGCACCAGCTGGTGGCCGCCCCTTGGCCTTGGCCCCAGCCCGCCCGTGACAAGTGCATCCCCGCGCGCGCCACGGCCCCAGGTCGCCGCGACGACCGTGCTGGAGCTGGCCGGCGCGAACTGCAACGATGTGGTGGTCTGCGCGCACGTGCGGGGCCGCGACTGGCCGCACGAGGACCCGGGGTCTCTCTGCCTGGAGGCGACGATGCTGGTGCTGGAGGACCCGGTGGCTCAGGAGGCAGCGGCGGCTGCGGCTGCAGCTGAGTCGTCCGGGTACCCTTACATCACCCCGCGGCGCGCGGGGGCGGGCGCGGGCGGCGGCGCGCGGGGCGCGGCCGCGGCGCAGCTGCTGCACGGGCAGGCGGCGGGGCCGGGCGGCGCGCAGCAGCAGCAGCAGCAGCAGCAGCAGCAGCAGCCGGCAGGGGCGGCGCCGGCGCCGAAGGCGACTTGGAGCGCGATGAGCGCGATTGCAGGGGGTTCCGCCTCGGCGGCGCTGCGGCCCCCAACGGC